GCTTGCCCATTGTCACACACCAAACCAGTCGCAGAAGCTGGGAATAGAACCCAGATTTTCTGAGTCCCAGTCCACTGTTCTATCCACTAGGCAACACAGTGCTAACTTGTGTGAAAACTACAAACTGCCTTGTCTTCACTAGGATTTTACCTCAAGTCAGCTAACCTGAATTTTGAGAACACTTTTTTTTTTGTAGTGAAGACAAGTCTCAAATATTCTAAACCTACCAGATCCTCTTTTCAAGTTTTGTGCAGACACAACATATACTGTTTTTCACACATAGATCACGGACTGTAAATTCTTCGGGGCAGGGACTATCTACTATTCTGTGTTTGGTGCTGAGTGCTGTACAATGGGGGCCTACTTTCAGTTGGTCACTAGAAATTGCCATGATAAACATGATTATTAATAATAATCATTAGCAAATTATGACCCCTGGTATCTGAACTATTTTCTCTGCCTACACTAGGTGGGAAAGTCCTTGGCCACAGAATATCTCCTTTGTTTATTTTACTAAGCACTCATAAATAATACCTAGGTGCTAATACAAAATAGTCAGTATGGCTGTGTGTTTTCTCCCAAGCTGCCCTGCACACTTGGGAGGAGCGCTCCATAAACATCTGCAAAACTACCTCATTATCCTTCTTCAAATCCCTTCTTAAAACTCTTCTTTGCCATGATGCCTTCAATAAACTTGACAAAGGTTAGGCTGCTGGGTGAGCAGATACCACTGCCTATCATGCTGATCATTATTGTCTCATTGTTTTCTTGTACTCCCTTCTTCTGCAACCATATGTTGTGTCTTGTCTTATAATTCGCTAGTAAGCTCTTTGGGGAAGGAGCCATATTTTTGTTTTGCTTGTATAGCTCCTAGCACACTGGGGTCTGCGTCCATGACAAGGGCTCCTAGGTAGTATGGCAATACAAATAATAAAGCAATAAGATTACTCCTGTATGCCTAACTCACATCACATATTTCCACTGTTTGCATTTTGTGTGTACAGCACTATGCACTACCAGCACCCAAGTAATTTTTAAAAAAGGTTATTCTTGCTTTAGGAACTTAAGGCAAGAGCTTCAGAGATAATCCAAGAAGTAAACTATCAAATATTTTGTTTGCAGGTACTATTTTCCATTAAAAAAAAAACGGTCCGGCAATCAAGCCTGTGTCTATAATCATACTGTATATAAAAACAATGCACAAGATAGGTACTGTTAATCACTGGTACAACTTCAAAATAAGGAGCTGTCATGAATAAGTGCATTAAAATGCTATTGTTCTCCTGACAGAGAGGTATCATAGACAAATTATTTTTTCAGTCAATATCTGTCACCATTATTATTGTGCATAATGGAGGACCACCAATGCTATAATTTCTTATTTAAAAAAATACAAGCAGTATTAAATGAACTGAGACCTATGCCTTTACATGACATTGGAGGGAAAAGATGTGCTTCTTTTTATCTACATACATTACCAGAAATTTCATTTACATGATATTTAGGTTTAAGTTTTACTCCTATAACTTCATTAATAATTATAAAGTTGCTGTGTTATAGAACAAAAATTTAGCCAATTTTTATGAGTCAATCATTCCACAACACTTATTTTAGATACTTAGTCTGTACATTACATCCTAACATTCAACATTGACTGCTATAATGTTACAGTCTTTTATCAAAAAAGACACAAAGCTACAGATTTTTCAGTTATTTTTTCTGTTTATATTCTGTCAGGTCCGAAACTTAGTTGAAAAGTAGTCAGAAACAATGTCAATTTGGGAATATATATAGAATCTGACGTTGCTTGTTTGAAGCAAACCATGTCTGAAAGTAAGCATACATCACCCAATTGGGGTAACAGAGAATACATTTCAACAGGAAAGCAAGCCCTTGCATTTAACAGGAATGAAACATATTAGAAAAATGCTGATAACTTAGATTTAGATTTAACAGTATTTAAAACCTAGGAATGAATATTCAACTTGGGAAATGTCTGGTCATCATGCTTTATACTGAATTAATAATTAAATTATTTTAAAGAGTAAAAATTGTAGCCTACAGAGAGCTTTTAATTGGCAGAGCTAAAACTGGCCTAAAAGTTGTGAAATATTTGATGTTTAGTAAGATATTTTGCAATAAGGGTATGTGATGTTTCTTCATGCTTTGGTTTCTATGAAGTTAAAACATTTTAAAGGAGGTACAGAAATCATGCTACAACATTGGATATCATGAGATGTGTATTGCTTTATTTGGTACCTGTATTATTAGAAAAAAATAAAACACAAACAAAAAGTTATGGACTCAAGGAACAAAAACATACCTTCCAGTATTTGAAAGTTAGAAACACAGACGTACGTAGAAGAAAAAACAAAAACAAAACATAACATAACAGAAAAATCTTTTAACTTCATTGACATACACAGGTCTAGACAATATGCTGGAGGACGGAATAGAAAATGGTAAATATTTTGCTTTTAAAAAGAGGGTTTGTCTGTCCCAGTCAGGGAGAATTGTCCTGTAAGATCAAACATCATCATCGGTTCATACAGCCATCCCTTATATTACAGTAGCATCTAAAAATTGCTAGATGTAGTACAGTCATATACAAAAAGAATACATAGTCCCTTTCCCTGAAGAGCTTACCGCTGCAACCCCAATCCCTCAAATTGATTTATATGGGCAGATCCCTATGCCTGAACAGAGTCCCAATAACTTCAGGCTCAACGCAGTATCCTACCCATGTAGGAAAGCTTGAAGAACTGAAGCCTTTGGTGCCAATTCTCCAACTAGATCTTTGGGAACAGACCCGTACACCCATATGGTCCTGATCCTGCAACTGGATCTCACTAACAAGTTTAGTGTGCAGCATAAGGATAAGCATTATTTCAATAACATAAGGTTATTATGAAAATACTGTGAAGCATTACGGATTAAATGTCTGATGCAAAGGCCCAATATTTCAATGGAGCTGCATGCAGTACTCCTCCCACATGAAACCAGTTGCAGGATCAGGGTCTAAGTTTTCTCTATCTTACTAGCAATAAATCTTAAAATTATGTAAGGTAATGGAATAAAACAACACAGCAAGAGAAAAAACTACATTGTTTAATCATCAAGGACACAAACAAGTCTTTGATCCATTCAAACTACTACAGTATTTTAAAATTTGATGCTCTATTATATATTTTAAAATAAGTATCAAACACAGCACTTCCATAAATATTTAAATAAGTCAGTTAAAAACCACCACTCTCTCTTACCCACCCTATTAACTGATAGCTATCAGCTAACTGACTCCCTCTTCATAGACAAAATACTTTAATTGCTGTATATCTTACTCACATGAGGCCCCTTAGGTCAATCACTATACTTTATTTAGGAAGCAAACAGAACAATTAACCCCTAAAATAGCTCAACCTTTTACATGTGAATTTAATTTTAAGCTTTTCTACTGAACTTCAGATAACATCTATATTTTTAGCTGGCTTTAACACATGTAGATAGTTTCTCAAGTATTCAGTCATTGGGGGGCACAAAAAGAATTCGAATCAAAAACATTTCTACCAAGTTAGTTTCCTATACTTGATTTAACTGAAGTAAAAACCCACTTTTGCAGATATTAACTCATTCCCAGATCATATACACCTCAGATATTTTAAAAAAAGCCAACAATAAGAAAATCAAAGTTTCCATGACATTACAATGCAATTAAAAATGCAAAACATCAAATAAAATAATTTAAATTCCCACAAGTTTTCTTTAAATACGAGCTGGTTACGCCAGATTTATTACCTCCTCACCCTCATCAGCTACTGTGAACTTTGAATGAAACAACCTCAATTGTAACAGGAGAGACATCTGTTTCTTTTTTTCTGAATCAAATCCTCATCAGGAGTTTTCCAGCTCAAAGTCCGTTGTGCATTTTTTTTAAATCAAATATTGTTGATTACTTCCATGGATTTAATTATTATTCTTTTCATAATTCTGATCACATATCAACTTTATTTGACAAAGCTAAAGTATTAGAAAGATTCCCCTCTAAATTAAAACAGTTATGTAGTATTGTTCTTGGTAACATATGTATTGGAAAAAACCCACAGAGTACTACTGCTCATACTTCAGGCTACTTAAGTATATACACTTATTCCGGGTATCTCAAGTGTACTCACTCCATTTCTTGAGAACATACAATAATAAAGTCTTTGCTTACATTGTTCAGATCTAGGCAAGATCTCATTTATTATATTTTCTTGCCAATCCAAAAAAAACAAACAAAAAAAACCCCCTAGCATAATGGCAGTTACTACCCCAACAAGCAGACACCAAATGGTGCCACCCACACTCTCACACTGTGCCTCATAATAAACCATAAAGCAGTGGAATGCACTGGCCTCTTTATGAGCAAACAATACCCTGGCTTCATTAGAATACAGCTGACATTTTCAAAGCACAAATACTTCAAGAGAACTGTACTAGATAAAAATTATTATAGTGAAATACAATGTAATAAAATACATACATATTAACCTACTTTTAAGATATATTTCTAAGGATCTAAAAAGAATAAGATTTTCTCCTTTTGTACATTTTTTGAAAGAAATAACTGACAAAGTATAGATCATAAAGGGCAAAGTTCATTATACCAATTTAAAATAGGTATAACTATTTTGGATAGTTTTAATGGCATGAGGCCACATTCAATATTCCACATTCAATGCTTTAATTAGCCAGCACCACTTCGGACAACTGAGTTAAGGAAAGAGGAGGTAAAATAATTCCCAAATTTTAATCTATTTGTTTAGACATGTAAATGACAAACTAGGCTAATTCTTTACCCCTCCCCCCAACACACTGTAATTTTCCTGCTTGCAACTTCCAGGAATGTCTTAAATTTAATATGCTAGGAATTCTTTATTAATTTAAAACAGCAGCTGTTTCAAAATACCAAATACTTTCTGCAAAATACTTATACAGCAGACAGAAACTCACTCTCTTACCTGGACTAAGGAAGCATGCCTCTCACAGCAGTACCAACAACACTCTACAGTCTTTGTTACCATTCAGAGGAAACTTGAGACTGTGCCAGACATGAGCAATCAAACTCAGAACAAGCCCAATTCAAATACTTTGCTAGAATTCCAAAAAGATGCTCAAGATAGATGTCCTACCGTAACTCTAATTGATAAAGATGAAACACTTTTAACTGCAATAAAACATTTTACAAAGAACTGACATACCATAATCTGCAGAATGAGCAGCACACTATCATACTCTCCAGCTTTTTAAAGCTAACACTTCTTACTTTTAAAGATTTTAAAATAGTTTTTACTCATGCCATGTTTTATAATTTACCATTCATTTTGATTCCATTTAAACAGTCACAGCATTACAATCTCCAGTATAAAAATCTAAATAGTGAAGCCTGTATATGCAAATTATAAAAGTTGGAATTTTCTTTTTGTTCTAGGCTGCATCAAAAACTTGCTACAGCCTCAGAGCAGGAAGCCTTAACATTTCTTGAAAGCAGAGCAAAAGTACCACAAGAGACTGAAATAAATCATTTTTTTTTGTTTAAGGACCAGATTCTGCAAACACTTGCTTCTTTCCCCCCCTCTTTCTCATCCCAGAGCATCTTTGCAGACAGGGAGAGCAGTACAGTGTCACCATTCATTCTTGTCCATGGCTTGTTCCTTCATTAAAACCAGCCTGTTCGTGTCCCTGCCTATGAAGTCCCACAGTCTAGTTCAGGGTTGGGCAACCTGTGACTCTGGAGCCACATGCGGCTCTTCAGAAGATAATATGCGGCTCCTGCTAGGAGCTGACTCTGGGGGAAAATGGTGGGTGCTCAGCACCCACCGGCAGCCCTGTCAGCCCTCCCTTAGTGCCTCCTGCCCGCCAGAGGCCCCCCCAATCAGCACCTCCTCTTCTCTCCCCCGTGCCTCCCGCCCACCGCGATCAGTGTTTCGCAGCATTGAGGTGGCTCTGGAGGGGGGGGGGGGAAGAGGATGTGGTATGCAGCCCCCCCCTCCCTCCCCCCAGCGCCGCCTCCTCCCTCCCTATGCTTCCTGCCCGCCACAATCAGCTGTTTTGTGACTTGCAAGAGACTCGAGGGGGGGGACGGGGGGACGAACATGGCTCACTTGGGGGAGGGAAGTGGTGGGGCAGAGGTGGGGACTTGGGGATAGGGGTGGAGTGGGGGACAAGGCCTGGGACAGAGCCAGGGGTTCAGCACCCCCTGGCCGGCACCAGTTTCTCCTTGAATAAAGCACATAGTGACTAGCTGGTGTGGAAATTTTTAACCAAATTTTTTCTTACACTATCTAACAATGGAAGGCAAGTGCAAACAGAAAAGAAAATACACAGATGAAAATCTATGCTTCTAACAGGAGTGGGAGAATAAGTACTTTTTCGTTGAACGTAATGGTAAGGCCATGTGTCTTCTTTGCTAGACGTGTATCTCTCAGTTCAAATCTTCAACGTGCAGCATCATTTCGCTTTGAGCCATGCACATATGGATCAAAAATTCCCACAAGGTTCTCAACTCCACACTTTAAAACTGAAAACTTTGAAAAAATAGATGTAAAAGCCCAGTTCTTCACCAGATTTGCCAACCAATCGCAGACTGTAACGTTAGCCTCCTATTATGTGGCCTGGCACATAGCCCATGCAAAAAAGCCCTACTCTGAAGGCAAGGTTATAAAAATGTGCATCACTGATGTGATTTCAATCCTGTCACCAGAGAACGAGACTCTACAGTAGAAAATTTCTGGCCTGCAGCTTTCACGCCACACAACAGAATGCAGAATCTCCGACCTGAACAGTGACATCGAATCGCAACTGCACTTGCAACTTCAGCCGTGTGAGTATTTGAGCATCACTTTGGATGAGTCATGCCATGCTCAGGATAAACCTCAATTATTGGTATGTGTCTGCACTGTGTCTGATGAAGGGAAGAACTCCTCAATATCTTGTCACTAAAGGACAAAACCCGTGGACAAGATCTAAAGGAGGTGGCTGATTTTGGTAGTTGCGAAAAGCCACTTGGCTTTACAGAAAATCACTGCCATTGCAATGGATAGGGCTCCATACCTGTGGGGATCTGCAAATGGATTAGTAGGGCTTTGTAAGTCTGACAAGAGCTTTTCCGAATTTTGGACACTTCACTGTATTATTCATCAGGAGCAACTGGTATCTAAAAATCTCAAATTTGATCATGTCATGAAACCTGTCTAGCACATTGTGAATGCCTTTCTCTCAAATGCACTCAAATCACAGACAATTTCAAAATCTAATTGAAGAACTGGATGAAGACGACTCCCCTGCCGATTTGCCATTTCACTGCACAGTTCGATGGCTTTCGAAAGGTAAAGTTATTTCCCATTTTTTCGAGCTCCTGGAACCAGTACAATTTTTTATGGTGGAAAAGCACAGAATACAACCCGAGCTTAGAAATCCTAGGTGGGTTCTAGACTTGGCATTTCTTGCAGACATGCTGCTGCATTTGAATAAACTAAATGTGGACTTACAAGGAAAATTCCGGTTGCTGTCTGATCTAGTGCAAGGCGTATTTGCGTTCATGAACAAACTTCAGTTGTTTCACAGACAAATGCTTGAGGGAAAGTGTGTCAGTTCTCCCTCAATGTCACAACTTCAAGCCAGATCAAAAGAGAATGCAGCAGAATGCGTAAAACAGAGCACAACTAGATATGAGTGTGATTAAAGACCTTAAGGAAAGTTTTGAGGAAAGATTCCAAGATTTGCAGCAGAAAAGGCCTCAAATCAGATTTATTATTTATTTATTTAGTGCTGAAGCCGATTGTCCGAAGTCTCCTTTAGTCACTGACGAAGCAACATCCCAGATGGAAATAATAGAACTTTTGGAAGATGACAGATTGAAATTTGTTCAGAAGACAGGAGGGGACCCTTACTTTCTGGAAATCTGTACCAAAGGATAAATACCCCAACATCAGAGGTGCAGCCCTAAAATTAATCTTGATGCTTGCCTCGACCTATCTTTGTGAGTCTGTTTTCTCAACACTCAAACATGTGAAATCCAAGCACCGATCCGTTTTGACAGACAGCCACTTAAGAGAACTGCTGTGTGTGAGCACAACTGAACACAAACCAAACTTGTTTTGTTGTTGTTGTTGTTTTTTTGAAAGCAAAGATTGCCAGAAGTCCCACTATGTAAAAGATTAAGTTATTATCATTAACTATATATTATAAATGTATAATAAATATATATTATCAACATATATAATGATTATGTGTGTGCATATACACACACCCACACACACCCACACATATGTATATAATCATGGCGATCGGGGGAGGTCCCAGATGACTGGAAAAAGGCTAATGTAGTGCCCATCTTTAAAAAAGGGAAGAAGGAGGATCCGGGGAACTACAGGCCAGTCAGCCTCACCTCTGTCCCTGGAAAAATCATGAAGCAGGTCCTCAAGGAATCAATTATGAAACATTTAGAGGAGAGGAAAGTGATCAGGAACAGTCAGCATGGATTCACGAAGGGGAAGTCGTGCCTGACTATCCTAATTGCCTTCTATGATGAGATAACTGGCTCTGTGGATGAGGGGAAAGCAGTGGATGTGTTATTCCTTGACTTTAGCAAATATTTTTAATCGTTTTCAAACATTATTATTGCCGGCAAGTTAAAGGAGTATGG